CCTCCTTGGGTTTCCGAGGCGGTATCACTACGGAAGTAGATTGCCCCATCTTCCTTCCGAGGAGTGGCTGGTGGGTTTGAACCACCAGCCTTCTGATTAGCAGTCAAGTGCCTTAGACCCCAAAATCTCTGTGTGGATGAAGTTGAGTGAAAAGGAACATAGAGGACCAAAGGGGTTAAAAACAAAGGATATTCCTCACAACATTCAGACTGGGTTTCATAGGATTATTGTTATGTGCCGTCAAGTCAGATCCAACTCATAGTGACCCCTCCTTGGGTTGCCGAGGCAGTATCACTAGGGAAGTAGATTGCCCAACCTTCCTTTGGAGGAGTGGCTGGTGGGTTTGAACCGCTTAGTAGGCATTTTATTTTTGTGTATCAGTATATATTTCTAAACCCCACAATTCAGTGCTATAAACACTTTACCTGCAAAGCCCCAAACTTGATAGCTGAGGCCTCCATAACCTTAATTATTAGAAATCAGACCCCCTGAAGGGCACTCATTTGTTTATAGTAATAACTGTAAAAATATTTTTAAAAAATGGGTGCAATATCGGGAGCAGCCATTGCTATGAGCAAGGTTACAATGGCAATTTTATGCTAAATATATTTTTCCACAATAAAAAAAATTAATAGTAAAAGATTATAGGAGTGTCTGAAGTGAAAAAGTAGAAGCCCCCACTCATTCCATACCTGTAGCTGGAAGCAGCCACAACAGGAAGAATGGTCACAGGAAGTGATACCTGGATGAGGTGGGAGGAGGCATTGCTGTCTGGTGATGGATGGTGGAAGGGAAGAGGAAAACACTCTATGCTGACTGGGGCAGGGGGGCTTTTTTATTTTTTATTTTTCTTTATCGTGGAAAATATACAAGTAACAAAACATTTGACAGTTCAACAATCTACCCATGTAGAGTTCAGTGACATTCATTGTGTTCATCATGGTGTACAATCATCACACTGTCTGTTCCCAGATTTCTCCATCACCCTTAACAGAAGCTCAGTGTCCTTTGGGGACTTCTTAAAACAACTTCCTGTCATTGCTTTGGCCTCCGTTTGCTCGTCTGTAAAATGGGACTTGAACTAGACCAGGGTCCTCAGCATTCCTAGGAGGCAAAGCAAACAGAAGTTGCATTGCTAGTGGCAGAGCCCCAAAAGAAGGGAAGTTGGTATCTGATTTCATTATTTTAATTTGCAGAGAACTGCTAAATTGAATTAAACTGCCACTCCATTATGAAATAAAATATGAAACCATAGCCATGAGCTTGTGGTCACAGGAAAAAAAATACACACTCAAAACAAGCAGGTGGGCTGCTTCCGAATTTCCCCATCAACACTTGCTGTTCCTTCTTTGCCTGTCTGCTGGCATTTCTTTGCCAACAAGTGGTCAGAGGGATAAGGCAGCCCAGAAAAATTTGTCAGAGAAAAATGTAAATTAAGACGAGAGTGGACATTAACACATGCTTTAAAAAAAAAAAAAGTGGAGAAAAGTAACAATTCTGTTTTAGCAGAGGGAAAGCTGAGTCTCCGTTTTGAGGTGCCAATGACATTTCAAAGGAGCCTGCCCCAAGCCCCACTGGTCAGAAGGATGCTTAGGGGCCTGTGCCCAGCCAAGGCCTAGGATCGTTTTCCAGCCCCAGCTGCTGTGTGAGTCACCATGCAGCTGGTCCTGGCAGTACCTGGCAGGCCTCAAGCAGGGGGCTGGGGCAATTGTCCTCATTTGTTGTCCCCAGCATCAGCTGTTTCCAGCCACACACACAAGGAGGACAGAGCTGGCCAGAGCCAAAAGCCATGGCCAGATATCAGAGGGGCTCAACAGGGAAGGCGAGCCTTGCAAGGCAGCTGAGCAGAGGCCCTGCACTCACGGGAGCACAGCCAAGGCACGCATGGATGCCCAGTGGTAGCTCCCAGGAATGGGTGAGCCAAGCCACTGCCAGCTGTCCTCTATGGAGGCTGCCCCCGGCAGCTGCAGAGGGGCCAAGTGCAACCTTACAGTGGTCCCAGCCCAGGGACCCACCATGGAGTCAGGCACAGCTGCAGCCCTGGGGGCACGTGGAAGCACCTGCCCGGACAAATGAGACAGGTGATGAGCCAAGGCCAGAAAACTGCCAACAAAAGGCATGAGCAGGGAAATGACAGGAGAAGACAGGTGGCCAAGGGCATCTGTCCTTTGAACAAATGTTTATTGAATGACAGTAACACAGAAACCAGCAGTTACTAGTTTTTTTTTTCTTACAGCAAGTAATACATTCACTTTGTAAATATAGTCAACAATGGGGAGTTATTGCTTACTGGGTAGAATTTCTGTTTGGAGTGATGGAAAACTTTTGGAAAATAGTGGTAATGGTTGCACAACATTGTATGAAATTGTCACTGGATTGTACAGCTTAAAAATGGTTACAATGGCAATTTTATGCTTTATATTTTCCCATAATAAAAAAATAAATAATAAAAGATTATAGGAGGGTCTGAAGTGGAAAAGTAGAAGCGCCCACTCATTCACCTTGGTCTCCACTCCCCAGGGGTAATCATTGTCCTCAGCTTGATGTGTGGTCTTTAGAACTTTATTTTTATATTATGAACACATATGTATATAGTGTCTATCTAACCAAACACAGAATCTTACTCTTCATACCATTCCACAACTTGGTTTTTTCACTTAGCACTCTATCACCTTTTATTCAGTATGTTCTTTTGAAACACTGCAGTTTTCTGTGGTTATGAAGATAAGGAATGATGCTTCAAATGTCCTATGTTGCTACAATGCACATCCTAGGACATACATTCTTGCACATTGTTCTGAGTATTTGTGCCATTGGGGAAAAAAACTGCCATCAATTCTGACTCACAGTGGCCCCACGTGTGTCACAGTACAATTGTGCTCCATACGATTTTCAATGGCTGTGATCTTTCAGAAGTAGATCACCAGGCCTTTCTTCCAAGGTACCTCTGGGTGAACTTGAAATTCCAACCCCCTGGTGAGCAGCTGAGCATGTCAACTATTTGCACCACTCAGGGATAGACCTAAACATGACATCACTGGACACTGGATCACAGTGTTGGCATGTTAAAAAATTAAAAAAAAAAACCCACTGCCATTGTCAATTCTGACTCATAGCAACCCCCATTGGGTTTCCAAGGTGGTAAATCTTTACAGAAGTAGATTGCCCAGTCTTGCTTCTGCAGAGGGTCTAGTGGTTTTGAACCACCAGCCTTCTGGTTAGCAGTCAGTTGCCTTAAGCACTGTGCTACCACAGCTCCTTAAAGTTTACTAGATACAGCTAAATAGCTTCTGAAAACAGGTGACAGCCCCACTCATGGGGCTTGAAATCTATAAACAAGCCTACCCACACATTTTGCATATAATATTTAGAAGTTCACAAGCTCCCTCAAGGCCAAGACCTAGCAGGTCATTGGAAAGCTGTGATAACATCTTTTTCTCCCCGTCATGAGAAGTCTGCAGGCAGGAGCCACCTCAGCATGGCAGCCCCTGATTCACAGGAGCAGAGCGTTGCCTGGAAGGAGAGAGAGGAAACTGCCCAGCACAGCTCTGCTGTTAGGTTCACCTGATTATTTTCTTGTCCATGTCCCTGCAGGTGATTGCAAATAACTAACCAAAAGAAGTCCCTGGGACTGACTGTTTTGGACTAGGAAAGGTTACAGAGGAACAAATAAAGTAACAACTATATCAATCTTATCTTTGTGTGTGTCTTGTTAGCAAACTGTTCTAAGATCCAAAAATTAAAAAAAAAAAAAAAATTGCCATCTAGTTGATTACGACTTATGGAAACCCCACGTTACAGAGTAGAACTTCTCCATAGGGTTTTACTGGCTGTCATGTATACAGAAGCAGATCACCAGGCCTTTCTCTCATAGCACTGCTGGGTGGGTTCATCAACTTTTACGATGGTACAAAAACCAAACTCACTGCTGCCGAGTCAATTATGACTCATACGGACCCTTCTTTGGGTTTCCGAGGCAGTATTTCTATGGAAGTAGATCGCCCAGTGCTCAGTCTCCCAGCCGGCCGTCTCCCTCAGCAGCTGGCCATCCTTAGCAGTGTGTGTCTCTCTCATCTCTCTCTCAGCAGCATGTCTCTTTCAGCAGTGCACCTCTCTCAGCTGGCAGTCAAGAGACTCTCTCGTTCTGCCTCTAGCAGGGAGGTCGCATCTTCTGACCTCCTCTAACTACGCAAGAAGAATCACCATCAGCAGCCTGTTCCCATGAGACCAGACATGCTGCCACCCTCCAGCCCTCTTGCCAACTCTGACACCAACCATTCTTCCCACAGCACCCACCACCTCTCTGCTGGGTTCGGTAGTTTGTTGCAGTGGCCACACACAACACACAGATTATGGGGTTTATTAGGGAAGCAACAGGTTACAATTCAAGTTCAGGAACGTGCTCAGTCTCCCAGCCGGCCGTCTCCCTCAGCAGCTGGCCATCTCTCTCAGCAGTGTGTGTCTCTCATCTCTCTCTCAGCAGCATGTCTCTTTCAGCAGTGCACCTCTCTCAGCTGGCAGTCAGAGACTCTCTCATTCTGCCTCTAGCAGGGCTCCTTTTTGAGCCTGGCAGAGTGACCAAAACCAAATAATCCCAATATCAGATTCTATACACCAGAGAGAGTGAACTTCCCAGAAGATTGCTTCATGCCACTCCAACAGAACTATACCAGATGGATAACTTTAACAATCAGCTACTCATGGCAAAGGGGGAGTTACAAAGACTATGTCTAGAAAAGCCACACCATATAATTTACTAAACCACACCCAGTCTTCCTTCCGAGGTTGGCTGGTGGGTTGAAACCACCAGCCTTCTGGTTAGCAGTCAAATGCCTTGAGTACAAACCATCTGTACCACCAAGGGACTTTGTCCTAATGCCCACAGGCCCTAAATGCAAGAAATAAGCTGGGATCAGGACAGCCTAAAGGACCTCACAGACTCAGAATCAATCTACAGTCCCACAGTCCTTCAGCAAATCAGGCACTCGGAAGGCAAAGGCTGGAAGTCAGAAGACTCAAGTTCCCGCCAGGTCTCTCCATTAGTTAACCATATTCCCCTGGACAAATGACAGCCTCCCTTGATACAGGATCCATACTCCATCACCCTCCTAGGATGGCGCTGGGATCAAAGAAAATAAATGATAGGGAAATGTTTTGAGAAAGGCAAAGAGAAAAGTAATCTTTATAAGGAAGAAGAGTTTGAGCAAAATGAAGGGGATAAAAGGGCAGAAGAGAGTCCATATTCACCAGATTTATTTCTTAATACCACAACACAGGAGAAATGAACAATTTTTACAACTTCATTTAGAATTCCCAGATTAAAGCTGTTCAGACTCTAGTAGCACCAAGCCTGCTGATCCGAGATGCTGGTTTCTTTCTTGCCAGAAATTCCTATCAATCCGTGGTTCTCAAGCAGAGGCATTTGCTCCCCCAGGGGATATCTGGTGATTCCTGGAGACATTTCTGGTTGTCACAACTTGGGAAAGTGAATCTAGCAACTAGTGGGTAGAGGCCAGGGATGCTGCTCAGCCTCCTACAGTGCATAGGACAGCCTCCCACCACAAAGAAGCCTCCAGCCCCAGAAGCCCATAATGCTGAGAAACCCTGCTGGAGAGAAACCACAGGGCCACAGGCCAGTCACTCAGCCCAGGCACCATGCGTATGCGAAGAGGCCACGTGGTGTCCACAGCGCCCTTCGGCTCCTCTTCCTCTGTGGCTCATCATCCTTCACATACAATTTGGAAGCCTATCTGCCTTCACAGGAAAAGAGTAGCCCCTGCACAGGCTAGAAAACCTTTCAAAGCCTGACAGCTACAGTCATAAGGACATCCAGGCCTGGAGCAGGAAGGTTTGGGGCTGAAACGTAAGGCAGGGCATGGGGCCTGGGTCTCAAGAAGTTTTAAAGTAAAGTTTTTTCCGGAGGAAATTAAAATAACCTGGCATCTGTTTGTAAATCCCCTTCTCTGAAACAGCATTGGCCACCTGTGAGAACACAAGCATAGAAAGGTCTGTGAGTCTGTGAGTCCTCATTATTGAAAGAATTCAAACAAGGGGTTGGGAAGAATGCCCACTAAGCCAGCACTTTATAGAGTGAAACTAGTCAGCTGCAAATGGACAAATATTGCATTCTCTCATGTATGCGAAATAAGCAAACATACAGACATCAATTATTAGCGGTTACTGGGGGTAGGAGGGAGGAATGAAGGGGGAGTTTCTGCTTAAGGGACACTGCATTTATGTTAGTGAGGGTAGAACAATTTGGAAAAGGACAGCAGGAATGGTGGCACGGCATGAAAAATGTCATTGATGTCGCTGAACTGTAAATGTGGAAGTTGTGTTAAATAATGTTATGGTATGTATATTTTTATCACAATTTTAAAAAAGGAAAAACAGCTGTAACTGCAGCCTCCTTTATCAGAGGGCTTAAGAACAACTATCTCAACTAAAAGTTTAAAATATTCAAAATTTCAAAATGCACAAAATTGTACTTACAATCATCAAAATGTCCAATTTTTAAGTTAAACATATCTTACAATAATAAAAAAATGTTTTCACAAAGTTCAAATCTGATCGGAGGGTTTCCGTGAAGAGAAGAGAAGAGATTAGGACCAGGAGCAGAATGCACTGCCTAGCCCCAACTGTCGCCTCCCCCACACTTAGGGCCCCTGGCTGCCGGAGGTTGGCTTGCCCAGGAGCACTGCACTGGGCGCCCCCTGGAGTTGTGCTAGGTGTGGCCCTGCACTGGCTTTTCCTCTCTCTGCTCTGCTCAGCAAAGCACAGAGCCTCCTTCAGGAGGAAGAAGTGGTCCCAGTCCTACAGCCCCTTCCCATGGCATGAAACACCTTGCAGAGCTGGAGGGACCCAGTGTGCTAACGCCCAAAGGCAAGGATGAGGCTCTAGACTCTTGGTGGAGGCAACCGCTTGGAGTGGGGTTTTCACACAGAGGGCTGTGGCTCTATCAGCTGCCCTTCAGTGGTCTTCCATCAGGACCTTCAGTCTGCTGATGGGCATCGTTCTTGGAGATCAAGAGTCAGTGACCAAGGAAAAATGTGGAGTAAAATTCAAAAACAAAAATGACCAGAATTATCAGTCAGACAGAGATTGGTGAAACCCCCAAAACTATGGCCCCAGGTTATCCTCCAGATCCAGAAATGGGCTCACTTCCATGGACTGGCTCTCAGCCCAACAGCAGAAAGACATACATGCTGAACATCTACCCCAGCGAGATGCACCCACCTACCCGAGGGAGCTGCGACCCTTAGATCAATCAGCCATGAGACACCAGAGGGGCAGCATTCACATAGAGGGAAAGCTGGACAGATAGGAGCGCATAGATAAGAAGGGCCCAGGGAGGGGTGTGGTAGTCACAGGGAAGGGAGGGGAGAGTTTTTAATGGTTGGAGATTGTAATCGGGGCCATGAAATCAAATGTGCATGAACTGTTGAATGTAAAACAAATCTGCTTTGTAAATTTACACCCAAAACACATTTAAAAAAAAAAAGAGGCAGTGACCACTTGATGGGGTAAAGGATGTTGAGATGGCCCCACAGCCTGCCTTCTTGCGTACCATGCTTGGACACTTAGCCATCCTAGCCTGGACCTATGGATCCACACCTTCAGGAGGGTGGGGCGCTGGGAGGTTTCAGCCTAGGAGCCTCAGAGGAGACAGTGGAGAATGGCAGCTCTGAAGACCCCCAAAGTGCAAATGTCAGTGCAGACATTCCATGTCACATAAAGAGAAGAAAGAACACTGACTCCCACAGCAAATCAAACTGCAGAAGCAGGTGGAGCTTTTTACCGTCTTTTACCTTTGGTCTAGGCTTGCTGCTTCCTCCAGTCTGGCTGGTACCCTGCTCGCCAACCCCACCCCCCATCCTGAGGAGGCTACCTCGCTGCCAGCATGTACCCCCTCCCACAGGAAGGCAGGCCTCACCCTAAGCAAGAGGGTCTGCAGGTCTTCAGAGTCAGCCCACTGCTCCAAGACTCTGTCCAGGGTCTCAATGTACCAGGAGCCGCTTTTGGTATCCCTCCAGGAGACAAAACCTTAGGAAGAAAAGGTGGGTGGGTCGGACCCCCACAGGTCACTCCTCTCCCTGAGCGTGAAGGCTTGGCACACTTCCAGACTTTGACACAGTTTCATGTCTAGCATGAATAGCAGCCCACAGCTCTGTGGCTCTGTGCCCTCTGTGATCCTATTCCATTCTCACAACCACCTTGGGACTTTGCTTATGGTTCCCATCTTCCTAACCAGTAAACCAAGTCTCAGGAAAGTCAGGTGGCTCCCCAATAGGTGTTAGGAAACTAACACCTGTGTCACCTTCTTCTGTTGTTATGTTACCCCATAACACCCCCTGAAGTATTGTTATATTCTCATTTTAAAGATGAAGTGGCTGAGGCAGGGCAGGGACCAGGGTGAGGCAAATGAAGTGCATGAACTTGAGAGCATCTGCACCCTAGGCACCACGCTTGCCTAGCCCTGGCCTGGGCTCAGAGTCACATAGGTGACAAGAGGCAGAACCAGGACTCAAGAACGGGTCTCTTCTTCACCACCACAGTTGCCTTTAGGGCAGGTGAGAGGACTGACTCACTGGGCTGGGAAGATGAGTCTCTAGGTGAACTCACCTGGGAAGGTGGAGTAGGACACAAAGATGTCACTGGGTGTGGGCAAACTAGCCACAGCATCTGGCTGGTCAGAGCTCCCTGGGTCTTCCTGGAAGGGGGTGGCGTCTGACTCAGAGTTACTGCCAGAGGCCATGTCTTCAGGGGAAGCAGAGGCCACCTTAAACCCATGGTCTTTCTGCTCTGCAGGAAATAGAAACAAACACCAACTTGTCACCAAAACACAGACCAGAGTTTTTTCCTCACTTCTTGGTGCCATCCAGTCTGTCCCCAGCCTGAAATGATATGATTTCCTGGGAATCCAGGGTCTCAGTGTTGGGCAGATACAAGCTAGAAACAGAAACAGAGCTTTATGTCTTTCTGTGATAAAAGCATCACATGTATTATGAACTGAATTGCCTCCTCCAAAAAGATAGGTTGAAGTCCCAACCCCCATACCTGTGAATCTGACATTGTTTGGAAATAGAGTTTTTGAAGATGTTATCCGTTAACATGAGGTCATAGGGTAGGTCCTAATGCAGTCACAGTGGTGTCCTTAGACACTAGGAAGACCATGGGAAGATACATCTACAAACCAAGAAACACCCAGGGACACCAGAAGCTGACAGTGACAAGAAAGGATCTTCCTCTAGAGCCTTCAAAGAACACATGGCCCTGACAACATCCTGCCTTCAGACAACTAGCCTCCAGAACTAAGACAATAAATTTCTGTTCTTATAAGCCACCCAATTTGGGCCATTTTGTTATAGTACCCCTAAGAAACTAAGGCAATATTCATTAAATAACTTTCGGGGAGAAAAAGAACATAGACATTTTATAAACAGCTCTAAAAACAAGTTACAGAACAGTATGTAAACTAATGACCCATCTAGCAGATACATTATTGTGGTACAGTGAATTACTCAGTATATGGCCTTTCTAGCCATGGTCTCGTAACTCCCACCAAATGACTGGGTGGGGCCAGACAAATAAGGTGGCTCACCAAGGATATTGGCTAGCTTACTAACAATGCGAATAAGGTGTGTAGCGCCCTTGTGGGGGTGGACCACACAAATAAGGTATATGAAACCCTAATGAGGGGATTGGTCAGTCTTGCCATCGTCCTGTTAGGCCTAGAAAAGCCATCCCAGAGGTGAAAGGGGGGACCACAATCACCAAAAAAGAAGAGCCAGAAGCGCAGCTTGTCCTTTGGGCCCAGCATCCCTGCACTGAGAACCTCCTGGACCCAGAAGACTGAGAGCGAGCTGTAATACTGAGACAGCAAGAAGCGGCCGCAGAGAAGCAGCAGCGGCAGAACCAGACCAGCAGCGGACAGAGCAGTGGGCTTCCCAACCCACAGAACAAGAGTTGAGTGCCTTCAGGCTGGAGTGGGCTGCCTCTGGGCACTTATCAGCAGAGCTAAAGAGCTTTATAACACTTGTCCAAGCAGGTGGACAAGAGGCTGGGTTGCGGGACTAATGGCCCGAGAGATGCCAAGAGCCAGAGAGAGGCCTATCTACAGGCACGTCTGAGGAGACGCTGTCCTGACCGAAGAAGTGTATCCTGAGTTGTTTCTGATCCTGAATTTGTAACCTGTTACTTCCCTAATAAACACAATAATGAATGTGGCCTGTGAGTTGTGTGTGGCCACTGCAACGAATTATCAAACCCAGCAGAGAATGCCGCAGGAGGGACGCTTGGTGCCAGAATTGGGAAAAAGGTTGGAAAAAAGATATATCTGACCTTCACCTCATAGGAATCACCTTTGGGCTGATGCTGATGGTGACTCTCTCTCCCCCTTGTGAAGTCAGAGGAGGTCAGATGCTGCCCCCATGCAATTTTACTGTTATAGACAGACAAGAAGAAAAGTCTGGAAAGACACACCAACTGTTCACAGCAGCTACTACTGAGCAACAGGATTAGGGGTAGGTGTTGGCAGAGGCCTTTTACTTTCCACTTTTATATATCCCTGAAGCAGTTTATGTCTTTGTTTTTTAATGAGCATGAATTACTTTTGATCTCAAGAGTTTATCTGCAACACTTAGTTGGTCATTTTGTAGTTAGTTGCTACTTCTTCACCACCTTTACAGCCTCTTCCTCATGACCACATTAAACCTCAATGTAATGAGCAAAATCAAGTCAAAACAAAGCCCAGCCATCTTCACACCACTGCAGAGACAAGTGTGGCTGCTGCTAACTGGTTTGCTGCAGCTCCTTCCAGTCTTTCTTCTATTTGCTTTTGTTTTCACCTGGTAATTAACACACTGCAGGTTCAACTAACTGTGCTCTTCCCCTTACTACAGCAGCACAAGGATTTTCCACGGGCTGTAGCCTTCCTTGAAATCATGGTTTCTGACAAGACAGTGAAACACATGCACACCAACAGAGGAACTGAAGGTCAGAGAAGATGAGTTCTTCTGTGTCCGAGGCTAAAAGCCCAAACTGAGAAAATGATGTCCTCAATTTACATTGGGAATTGAGAGCCATATAAAGCTTGTCTCTCTCTCTTTTGGCAGAAACATAGTGAGGAAAGGTCTATTATATTATACAGTATCCCCTTTATGAAAAGAAGCCCTGGTGGTGCAATAGTTAAGCACTCGGCTGCTACCCAAAAGGTTGGTGGTTCAAACCCAGCCAGAGGTGCCAGGAGAAAGACCTGGCAATCTGTTCCCATAAAGATTTTAACCTAGAAAACCCTATGGGGCAGTCTTGCTGTCACATGGGTATGAGTCAGAAACAGCTCAAAGGCACATAACAACAACCCCTTCCTGACAAAAGAGGGAATTTCCTGGGTCACAGTACCAAGGCTGTTTCTCCCAGAAAATGCAGCATCTGTCTTACAGAGGCTGTGGATCTCACAAGCACTCTTATCTTGCCCCGTCTGCAAAGCCAAATTTAAATTTGCAGGCCACTACACCACTAACAAGTCTATAAGGCCTCACTATATGGATTTATAGGTACCAAAGTTACTCCTATTTTCTTCTTTCTTGAGATTTCCTCTTTCTTTGTTCTACTACATCATTTGTTTTACTTGTTCTTAGCTGTCACTGAATTGGTCCCCGATTTACAGCGATACAACAAACAGTGGAAAGTAACACTGCCCAGTCCTGCACTGTCTCCATAATCACTTGAAGATCAGATTGTTACAAACTGTAGGGTTTTCACTGGCTGATTTTCAGAAGATCACCAGACCTTTCTTCCTAGTGTGTCTTAGTCTAGAAGCTCCACTGAAACCTTTTCAATGTCACAGCAACATCCAAGCCTCCACTGATGAGACAGGTGGTAGCAGTGCACAAGGTCCACTGGCCAGGAAGCAAACCCAGGTCTCCTGCTTACATTTCTTAAGATATCTCAAACCATGTTCCGGAATCAAAGGAGGCAGCAGAAACATGCCAAATAATGACACAAAGTCACACGTCATAGGATCCATGGAGATGTTTACACCTTTGGCCCAATAATTCTACTTGTGGAAATATACCTAAGGAAATAATTCAATTGAGGCCAAAAGCTCTATGTATATGAAGACATTTGTGGTTGTGTTAGCCAAAAACTAGATATTATCTAAGTGACTAATGGAGATGGACTGACATAGTGGCCAACAATGGGCTCAAACAATCAACGACTATGAGGATGTACAGGACCTGGCAGCCTTTCGTTCTGCTATACATGGGATCACTGAGTCAGAACCAACTCAAGGGCACCTAACAACAGGGAAATGGTTTGGTACCTTACTGCATATCACTGAAATGGAACATTATAAAGCTATCTGGACTAGTGATTATGAAGACTGGGGAGATATGGAAAGATGCTTAAGGAGTAACATGAGATGAGAGAAACAGACTGTCCTGGGCTGGGGTCCAATGGTAAGAGGCAAAGGAGATGTCTGTTAGGTGCCAGAGTAACATTTTTTTTTAATGTGGTCATCTTTTCTGTCTTTTCAATTTCGGAATCCAAACTCCTCAAAAGCAGTGGCAGGCGGATCTCAAAACCTACTATACAGCCACAGTAGTCAAAACTGCCTGGTATTGGTTTAGTGACAGATACATAGACCAATGGAATAGAATTGAGAACCCAGATATAGATCCATTGACCTATAGTCAGCTGATCTTTGACAAAGGCCCCAAATCC